AATGGGCAAGCTATGTACAATATAAACAGCCACCAAATGGTCCACAAGACCTATAATATGTCCAAAATAATAAGCAATCACTATGATGTCCATCACATAAGCAATACAAGGCTTTTGGGGCCAAAACAATACAAGTGTCCAAGTGGGAATGCCAAATTGTGAGTCAACTTGCAAAATAAGGCAAAAATAGTAAAATGCATCTAAAAATGTCAAATAAATTCTACAAGCACCTACAATTTGTCAACAATCAGAGGTTAAAAGGATAGAAGAATAATCTAAAAGGAAGAGTTCAAACAGAGAGTAAACATCCAAAGGTATCCCAAAACAAGGCAATCTAGAGCATGCCCAAAGATGGTGTTCAAAACCTATACAAAGGATAGTATAAAATCCATATAAAAATATACACAAATCCCTCAAGATGTACACAATAATACCACAAAATATTAGGAGTTTATATTTTGTTTTGAAACCTCAATGAAAATCCAAAAGAATATGGGTGCAATCTCACAATTTTAATGGCAATTAAAATGGAAAAAATCCTAATAAAATGAGAATTAATCCTAAAAATGATTTTTCAATTTCTAAAATTTCTAAAATTTCTAAACATGTCAAGAATTATCATGTAAAAATATCAAGAAAAAATAAGCAATATTACTATTTTTTATGGATTAAAACTAGCAAGCATAGAAATAAAGAAAAAGAGAAAAAGACTGAAAAATAGTTAAACCCGTGTAGCAAATAGCAAAACAGTTCAGTATGTTTTTGGATTGGGCCCGTTTGTGGGGTGTGAATAGAAATGGAAATTAAGCCCATGCTGATGAGTAAGTGAAATGCAGCGTATGAAGGGGAGGGTGTCGTGGCAAATTCTGGAGCGTGAGATCTGTAGACTTTGCCAATGTTTCAGCAAGATCCAATGGCCGGTCTCCGTTTGAATAAAAAAGAGAGGGAAGATATCAGAGGGTGGCGCGCATGGTGGCCGGTCATTTTCCGGTTGTCTTCAACCTTTGTCTATTACCCTAACTCGCTCAATACTCCACCAAACGCCAAGTTTCTTGAACCAAATTCGCTCAATTTTTCATGTAGAATACAAATATGGCATTGAATCAAGCTATCAACCACTGAATCTCCAAACCTGTGCCAATCCAAGAAAATTCCAAGAATATTAAATCTTCATGAAAGTTCTCCAATTGATACCAGAAACACAATTGACTTCAAGGGGGTTCTAAATATGCAAGAATGACACCTTAAAGATTCATAAATAATGAGATATTCTGATTTCTTAATACCTCTGAAAAGGGTGATGGTGATGGTCCAAACAGTCACTGATCCTTCAAGAATTTTGTGCAGAATCACTCAAGAGTTGTTGCTGAAGATGTTTTGATGGTTGAAAGGCCTTGAATTGGAGTGAAAATGAAAATTCGAAAATCACTTTGAGCTCTCTTTTTTAACATGCTATATCTCTGTTTCTACACCAAATTCATCCAAAAAAATTATGAACTCACTCCATGGATTATATAGAACATGTTTGCAATGAGTTGGGAGCCCAATTGTATGAGAATCAATGAATTGGATTTTCAAATTTTGTGAAGTTGGAAGCCCATGAGTATCCATGAAACCATGACCAATTCTCCTTGGTTTTAATTGCATTCCATTCCTTATAGTGTAAGAAAGATCAAGGGCCCAAAATCCCTCCTTGTTTGGATCTTAATGGTCTTAATCCAAAGTGTTGCTTAAACATGAAGAAAGCTTGAAATGGTCCATGAACCATGCCTCAAATGCAATTGATTTTGTCACCAATGTTCTTAAAACATATTTTCCCTTCAAAATGAGCACAAATATGACTATATTTGATTAAATTTTGGCAAGATCACAAACTTGGCTTTTCACATGCTTTTACCAAAATCTCCTTCACCAATCTTCAACCATGAGCTAGCCCATTGATAACTTGAGGCTTGGTTGACCAAATGACCCCATTTGGAGCAACTTTCATGTTGGAAAAAAGTGCATTTGAGTTATGCAAAGTGGTGAACTTGGCCTGTAATTTTATGACTTGTAATCAAACTTTCCCGAAATACCCCTGGCTTGTAAACCTCATAACTTGAGTTCTACAAATCAGATGAAAGACTTCTAGTACATTTTGGAAAGCTACGATCAAGACCTAAAACTTCCATGTTGTCCAAAATTTGAGGATAAACACCCTTCTAGGTCAAAAATATCCTGCAAGTTGGTTGACTTTTGCAGACAAGTTTCACATTCCTCTGGTGACCTGTAACTTGTCTGGATCATAATTTGAGTTCTATAAATCCAATCAAGGACTTCTAGTACTAAAATTAAATCTAAGAGCATGCTCTACAAGTTCCATGTTGGCCAAAAGTTGATATGAAACTTTTATCTTGAGATAAGTGGTCTTGAAGTTAGGCACTAAACAGGGGATTTTACACTGAGGAGCTTAGAAACCCTAGCTTAGTAACTTCTCACACTCTTGATTCTTCTTGAATTGATCTTGGAACAACATCTCAAATGCTTCAACATAACATTCCATGATCACCATGACCTAGAAATAGGCTTTGAACTCCTTCAATTGCACAGTTGACTTAGGGTTGACCAGATGAAAACCCTAATTGCAACACCTTCAACTGTAGCTGCTTGCACTTAGTAAAATGACTTGACTGAGCTCCACCATGACCCTAAAGGCACTCCATGAGCTATATTCACATACTCTATCCATAATCAAGGCTTTACAACCCCCTGATGGTCTTCAATTGGCTTCCAAGTTAGGAGATGAACCCTATACAAGCAACTCAACTTCTCAAGAGCATGAACCACTTTCTGACGACTTTAGTGACTTCTCCAGCTTGAATAAAACCTCTAGATAGGCTTCTCTTAATATAAATCACACTTGATCCCCTGCATGAATGCTAATGCAATGCTAATGCTAGTGCTAAATGTAATGTAAAGAACTAAAAAGCAAGAAGGGAAAGGTTGGGCAAATTTTGGGGTGCAACAACCAGCAGAGACAAAGGAAAATATAGTAGCAACCTTGAACATACTATGAGTAATTTTAGAGACGAGTTACATCTTCTTCCTCTCAGAAAGATTCTAAACGAAGGATAAATCTGACATCGAGGCAGTAGTGGCAACCTTCTAAAGGGTGCGAGTAAGCCAGGGAGAGAAGACGTATGACATCCGTATGAAGGGAGTTACCTCCCCCGAGACATTATCCCCAGTGACACAAGTCCATTTTGGAGAACCATCTTTTCGGTGGGACAATTAATTTTCGTCTCAGCCCTCTTTATTGAAACTAGAGGTGGGGAAGACTCCCCCATAGTCAAAGTGACCGTAGTTAACTCTACTATTAGTCATCCTGACTAGAAACACAAAGAATGCTGAAGATAAAAGCTTGAGTTCAGGACGATACCTGGTTATGTGAAATTGATGAACCAGGAGAAGAGGAAGAAAAACAAAGATTTTGAGCAAGGCAATGGAGATCGCTTCTAATGACGTTCTGAAGGAAGAGGAAATGAGACATTTTTCTGGAAAAGTGACTGTAAGTTTGAAGACCAAAAGTTGTGAAAAATCTCAAACATTTACTTTCCCCTATTTATATACGATTGCAGATGAAAGGTTTAAATTAACTAGAGAGAAATTGTGATATCAACAACTAGATTTCCACTTATGGATACACGCCAACTTGAGTGCACTATAACTGTGCCATGCTCTAACTAGTCGCGTCACCATATATGTCACAAGAAGGCTAAGAAACGTTTCAATGATGAGACTGCATTTAATGCGTTTGTCCCCTACTATTGTTACATCATGGAGGCCGACCAACATCACGTAAGGCTTCTCCCGAGTCCTTAAGTGTCCGACAAAGTTTTAGGGACAACTGTTTTGAATTGTCAAAGGTCCAAATGACTAAGACCTAGTCCATCTCAAATCCACCCTACTTAACCTAATGTATAAAATAATTCACAAACAAAGAGCAAGGTACATTATCTTATCTCCACTTTTCACTACACTCGTCTCGAATCTTAAATTGACTTATGTTGGACTACTAACTATGTAGATCCATCCCGTACCGCCGCAAATGAGACCATCATCAATTCAAAATTTCCAATTCATAAATGCATCTACTTCTCATTCTCGAACATAATATTTTGATTTGTTATTGATATGTATGGAAAAATACCATTAAATAAGTTTTTTAAATTCACATAATTAATAATTTGTGTAAGAAAAACTCACATAATTAATTTCAAACTTTTAATTAAAATACTTGAGCGACAGAAAAAGGAATGAATGTTTTGTTAAAATTTGAGAGTAATAAATAATTTAAATGGTGCGTCTTATGACGAGTGTATTTCATAAAAGTTCTTAACAAATGAATTTGAGTTATCCATATCTGATTGGACTAATAATAAAAACCAAAAAATTAAGAAATATTATAAATAAAAGTGAAATAATACTATTTTATTAAACGATTCTTATTCCTTATTACTATTATTGTCACATACTATTAATTTAAATATATTAAATTAAAAAATGCATTATATTAATTAGATAATACTACTAAATGAAGAAAATAAATAAAAATTGCTTATGTAGTCTATCCTCATTCATCATTTCACCCTCCTAAACCCTAATAATAGCAAGATAAACCAACCCCTCAACCACCTTAACCACTCTCACAATTACTCTCTCCCCTTCAATTTTTCAACCCATCTCCACATAATTTCATCTTTCCCTCCTTCACCCTTTTTTCTCTTCACCACTCTCACTCACACACACTATCAAACAAAAAATTTCAAAATCACCCATTTATGGATCTCATTCCTCTATCACCAAAATTCAAACTTTAAACAACCATATTCTACCCTTTATCCCAAACAAACAAAACCCAAATCCACGTTTTTCCTCCAAAATCTCTCACATATCTCCCTCAAAATTTTAAATCTCCCCCAAAAAATACAAACTTTATTCCATCTCAATTCCCACCTTCAATGTGGCCACCATGGAACAAGTCAACTTCTTCTTCCTTCAAATGTTCCTCCTTCAAAGACATTCAAACCCTCCTCACAGACGAACCCACCACTACAAAACCTAAACCCTCTATATTCCACCGAGTCACACTCGCTAACAAGCTCCTCCGAGCCTGGTCAACTCAACCCAAACTCACTTATTCTCCATCTCCGTCCCCACACGACGACCCACGCGCCGCGCAACCGCATCCTCCTCCATCAATCCCCGTTTCACAGCAGCGCGTGGTTATCTACTTCACCAGCCTGCGCGTGGTCCGAACAACATACGAGGATTGCAAAACGGTGCGTTCCATCATACGCGGTTTCAAAGTCGCATTAGACGAGCGTGACGTGTCGATGGACTCGGGTTTCCTTTCGGAGCTTCGTCTGGTCACGGGTCGCAAATCCGGGTTATCACTGCCTCGTGTTTTTATCAACGAGCGATACATTGGTGGGGCAGAAGAGGTGAGATGGCTGCACGAGAATGGCGAGCTCAAGAAGCTTCTCGAAGGGTTGCCCGTAGCGGATTCGTATCTCCACGCTTGCCACGTGTGCGGCGATCATAGGTTTTTACTTTGCGGGGAGTGTTCTGGTGCGCGCAAGGTGTACGCGGAGAAAGGTGGGTTCAAGACTTGTACGGCTTGTAATGAGAGTGGTCTAATCAGGTGCATCTCTTGTTCTTGTTGACTACGTGCACCTACGTTTTTCTTTTTTAATTTGTCAAGATGTTAGTAATGTGTAGGACCCAAACAATAATTAAAATAAAAAGGACAAAATTGTAGGGCAGAGAAAATTGTTGAAATAAAAATATTGACATAGTTTGTTGGGTTGTATTAGCTTTGTAATTTTGTTGGTAGGGAGAGATGTATGCAGTAGGAGTGATGAAAAAAAATGTTTTATCTCTAATTTCTTATCTATTTTCGTTACACTTTTGATCTTCAAATTGATATGGAATGGTGAAAATACATGTTAAGACATATTTTTTTCACTAAAAAGATCTAACGTGGCCAGGTTGTATCATTCCTAGAGACCATATACATAAGGCATTGGATTCTTGGGTTTTCTCCATAGTATTGCATTCAATTCTTTTGAGAAATATTGGGATTTTTATCTATAAAAACTTGGATATTCTGATTAACAAGATTATACTATTCACTCTCTCCGGTCAAATATAAGTAAAAATAAAATAAAAATAAAATAAAATTCAATGGTTTCAAATATAAATAAAAGTTATATATATTTATTATTTTAAATATATTTAATTTTTCAGAGATTTTTAAAATAAAAAGTAGAGGTAAAATTAGAAAGGATGTAAAAATTAAATAAATTTGAACATTTTTTTAATGAGTGCATATCTTTTTTGCAAAGTTGTTTATATATGAGATTGAAAGGAGTACGATCTATTCTGCATCATGTCTACGTGAGAGTTAATTTTTCTCATTGTATTGGAGGGCTGAGGGGTGCTAAGTGAGAGCCGGTGTTTTTCTAAATACTTGTCTTTTATTTTAAATTATAAGTTATTTTGGTAAATTTTTTTTTTTTAATTATAAGTTACTTTGTTAAAAAAGTGTCTTAAATCATAAGTTACCTTACAATTACAATGCAACATTAATAATTTTTTTTTCTAACATAATCCTTTATCATTTATTATTACTTCTTTTTTTTTTTTAATTTTTTTAATTTCTCTTTCATCTTTAATAAATGAAGAATAATATTATAAAATTATGCATAATTTTTTTGATCTTACCGGATCAGAAAGAGATCAGCAGTTAGCAACGCGCCGTGAACTTCTAGTTCGTCGGTGGTAAAGAAGAGGAGATGGTGTACATGCAAGGCACTCCGATGATAAAATAAGTTTAAGCAGGAGAGAGAAAGCAAGTACTGAAGCGTAGAAAGTTAGAATCCTTGACCTTCTAGTGAAAGAGAATATTTATAATGTACCCCAGCGCTGGACCAATGATTATTTACATTGGGTTGGATCACTAGGCCCAATGCGAATAACTGACAAGATCTACATAGTGTATGGAAGATTAACATGTGGTGTTCATCCTGGTCCAGCTGTCCCGTGAACTTCAGAAGGTGGAGGACCTGTTCTCTTGAACGCGAGTAGTTAATTGATGACGTGTCCCCGCGTGGGAAACACGTAGAGACTGTGGAGGAGACGTGTGGGAGCTCCCCGTGTGAGGTGATGAATTGGGCTATCATTTGGGCCCTCCCAACGAGGAGTTGGGTTAGACCGTATCCGACGGTGGAACAGCCTCTGACCTAGTCCAAAACATTTTCTTTTCCATATATTAAAATTAAATTTACGTGAAAGGTAAAAAATATCTTATTATTTAAGATAGAGGGAGTACAAGATAATCTTTACACGAGACCTTAAATTTTTAGGATATAGGATGTTGAAGCTAATGGCAAAACCTGATTAAAATGTCTGTAGGAACCATCAAAATAAATTATAATCAATAAAAAAGGATCTATTAAAATAAAGGGCAAACAAGTGTCTTTTTGTGTTGTATTTGTAATAACAAAATGTTAAGATATGTTAATTATGTTTTATTTTTCTATGTAGTCAGATATGATTACCCGACTATTGACAGTTATTATGGAAGGTGACAAAAATCGTAACTAAAAACGAAAGATAAATATTTTTCACAACAAGTGAGACTAAATAAATCAACAATACAAAATATGAAATTAACCTAAATATACAATGTAAAAACAATTGAACAATATGCAACCTAAAATCACAATACTAAATCCCTAAATTCACAAAACAATCCCTAAATTGAAATTAACTATGTGAAATTGAACATGAAATAAAGACAAACTCTAAACTCACAATAAGAAACAGTCTTTAAAATATACAAAACAATCTAAAAAATAAAGAAAAAAGAACTTACCTAACAACAAAACAATGAAAATTAGAGGTGAGCGAAGAACAATGACGGTCGGGACTTATGGCGGCAGTATACAACGAGCCTTTGTCGTTTTCATTCTGTCACAGTTTGTGAATTGTGCATGTTGGTGGACGACATCGATGGAAATACTGAGCAAAAATCGTAGTTCAAAAGGTGTGAAAAAGAGTAAGAAGTTTAGAGGGAAAGAAGAAGAAGTTAGAGAAAGAAGTTATTGGCATCACACAGAGAATTGGATAATGATATTTAGGGTTTACAGGCAAACTTGTAATTTTGATAGTTATGGTGGACAATTTGGTAATTTTACCTATATGAAAAAAAATTAAAAATTGAGGTGGTCGTGGCCCCTTTTTGTCTCAACGTAGCTTTACCACTAGTCAAAGTTGCTATAACACTCGAGTGCACTCAAGTGCCTTTATCATGTATCCTAGTGTTCTGACGATTACTAATTGTAGATCCATGCTTCTTAGCTGTCAAGTAGAGGGCAACCCTTTACATCTTTCGCTTTTCTCACACTTTTATTTCACATTCTCGACATTTTCTATAACTTTTACTTTGGAAGTGATCCTCTCATTCCTCCCGCTTTCATTTATATTTGTGCATAATGTTTGAGGTTTTGCTGATTTTTCCCTTGTTTCTTCAATTTCAACTTCCACCCCCTTAAAGGTAACATTCTCTTATGCTATCCTTTTAATTGTTTCCATTTATTTTTTAGCCATGAGCAATATATGAAACCCAAACATTGCCTTCGTAGACTTGAACAATAGGATGATATAAGTGACACTTCTTTGCGAACTAAAGTGGTAAACCTAAAAATATTAGAGGTGTCTCTTTTTAGATGTGATGTATTGCACTAAATTCTTTATCGATATTATTGATAGTTATGACGTTTTGGGAAATTCTAAAGGGGATCATGAGGACTTAGAAGGTATCCAAGGTGTGAATGACCTTCAAATTAATGTGGATGAAAAGTAGGAAGCTAACCCTTTTAGGGTTGATATCAAGGAGGTTGGTCGTGTCCATCCTTCCTCTAAAACTTAGAGCAAGAAATCTAATGACCACTCGAAAAACCGTGTTGCGGAACGAAATTTATTAAAGCCGATGAGCAATGACTCCTCTAGATGGGAGAAAGATAAAAAGGCATATTTAAAGTGGCTCGGACTTGAAGAGGCTCAAGAAAGGGGGCACATGAAGTTGGAAAATTGACTATAGGGGGAACCTAAGGTGTGTTACCCTTCTATATAGTCATTCCTTTTCACCATTGGCCCTGATCTACCAAAGACGTACATGTCAATTTCCTAAATGATGATTACACTTATTTTGTTTCGCATGCTGCAAAAACTCTTTTTGGTTCATTAAATCAACCGTTAAAATCTCCACAAAGGCACTTGAGCTTAGTCTGTGTAAATGCTTTGTCGCTTTGAGACCAACCAACGTAAAATGTCATATTGGTTTGAGATCAATTAATGTAAAATTGCATATTTGTTTGAGATCAGGTAATGTAAAATCTCATCCCGGTTCGGATGATAGCTAGTATAAAACACCATCTTGATTCAGAGGATATCTTCACAATATCTTCGACCGATCTTGAAATCTTCGCTTTCAATTCGAGCAGAACTTTTGTTTCAAAATAGAAAAATGTATTCCACATAGCCCTTACATATGCATCTGTCTTGAGCTCAAAGTTGTTGAACTCAATCTTCTCTACGTTGTCAATCGACGGTGAATGATGCTCGAGCTACACAATCCTTCAATTGTCTCTGTAAGGCAGGAGATTATGGGTTTCATATTTAATATCTGCAAGAGATGTGTACTCGTTGAGCTTAAACTTTTTCCCGGGTGTCGCGCTGGATAAGGAGACATTTACGACATACTAGTTGATGTTTGTTTATGACATTTGAGATATTTTCGATTTGTGTGAAATAAAAAACAAGAGCACCTTAATTTATAAACGTTGTAGACAAACGTGAACCATTCAAAACCTGGCATGCTGATTTCAGAGACATATCTCCACTTCTGCATCCTATTATCTTGTTCCGGAGATACATCTCCTGAAGCTCTCCTGAACAGGTTTAAAAAACAATTTTTTTTGACAAATGAACAAATGTTATGGGAAAGATCAAAGATGTATTAAAATATTATGATACAATATGACAAATTGAATATATTACACTTCATTAATATTGAGACACAATTGCATAACTTATTTGTCTGGCTAAATAGGAATTTAAAATGAATCAAAACATTTGTCGTCGACTAAATCTACGGGAGGTACCCCCTTTAACTTGTGTGCATTTGATTCTCTTTCAATGTTGCTCAATTTCTCAATCTCTTGCATCCTTTCAATAAAATGGTCTAGCCAAGTCTTGACTTTTATTATTGAATGAGCCGTCCACTTTGCTTATGTAAGTGGTATAGGGCGTCTCAGTTTCAAGTAAACTTGAACAAAATGTCGTGATTTTGAAAACCACCCAATCCACATAATACAATCATTTGGATTTTGAGGTGGGGTGGTACGCAGTGGGAAAAAGTTTCCGAAAAACCTTATCATGTCAGATCAACACATCCTCTATCATACACACATGCTATTAGGTGACCTATTTCAAGGAAGCACATCATTTACCTCCAGTGTCGGTCTGCTAAGGCAAGGAATGAGAGACTCATAAACTTCATCGAAGTTTTCTTTCTTTCCGTACAATCGTGTGTATGATTCTTTATGAGTGTCGCTACCGCGAAAATAAGGTGCCGGCAAAACAGAAGAGTCGCCACCTT